CTTGCATGCATTTTGCTGTGTGAATTATTTGACATGCTTTTGTTGTGCTGTGTGTGTGTCACACAGACATATATTTTTATCCATTGCAAACCACTTTGAGATCTTTCAGATGGTAAGTGGCCTATAAACTGAAACGACAATGCTGCACTGCTTTTAACCCATAGAGCGCTGCATCCCAAGGTGGAAATAGTGTTAATGTTAATCTTCTCTGTATCGTTCCAATTTTAGTATATGTGCTGCCGAAGCGAGCACGGAAATAGTGTTAATGTTGCCCTTGTGCACATAGATGTTCCGGCAGGTTACTTCTGCAATCTTTATTCCTTTTGAGAGCTCTAGGCTGTTGGCTCCAAAGGCAGAGCTGTTGTGTTACCTTAGTATACAGTTCTCCTGGATCAATACCAGGCGTAAGCAAACACGGCCCTCCAGATGTTTTGGGACTACAACTCCCATCATCCCTAGCTAACAGGACCAGTGGTCAGGGATGATGGGAATTGTAGTCTCAAAACATCTGGAGGGCCGAGTTTGAGGAAGCCTGGTCAATACGCTGGAAACAGCATTGCATTGTTACGGCTACTGTGTGCTGCTCTCCCTTCTCCTTAACTGTTGGGGGAGCAGCGGGGTGCTTTGCCCCTCAAACGGAGTGCCCCAGGCAAGAGCTTAATTTCAAGGTTGATTAATGATTATTAGGATGGGATCTTTGCTAGTGCCTTTGAGAGATAAAAGTATGAAAGGGGTGTTAACCTACTTGTTCATCTTGTTTTAATATCAGGCATCAGTGAAGCAGTGTGCTCAAAATCTATGGCTATTTTTTAAAAAATAAAAATAAAAAGCAATTCATCATACAACAGTTCTTCTTCTTTTCTTTAGACCCAAAGATGTTTTGTTCTTTTTGTTTATCTTTTTACTCTCTGAACTTCCCAAAGAGAGGATATTGCAGCTGGGAAAGGATATCATTGTTTAGCTCTGATGGTCAGGAGCTTAGATGCTTGTAGCAAAGGATATTTCTTTTTTATCACCTTTTCTTTAGAAACATCTTTACTGTAATGAGATTTACCCAGAAATATGGTCGCTGCAGGTAAGTGGTATATTAAAGATAATGCACGTAATAACTTGGAAGAGAACATCTAGTGGAAGAACGTCAGTGGAAGCAGACTTTTCTCATATACAGAAAATAACAATGCTGTAGTTTAATAAGACCCAAGTTATACATAAGAAGAGTCCTGCTGGATTAGGCCCAAGGCCCATCTAGTCCACCATCCTGTTTTTGCAGCTGCAAACCTTTGGGAATCATGGAAGCAGGGCTCCTCTCTCCATAAAATATTCCATTAATTCACAGGTGATAAATTACCTTCTCTCCTTCTCTCTCAGTACATTTTGAAACATCATGGAGAAGTCCAATATTTTCATTCTGCTGCTTGCTCCAGGGAATTCTGGAGAAAATGAAGGCAGTACGATGTGTACAAGGCAGACTTTTGCATACACATCAGTGTGTGGCACTACTTTACATTCAAATGAGCAACTGCATATGAATGGGTGGGGATCTTTTTTCCTGAAATGTTCACCAGTGGCTTATTTATGGGGTGGGGCTGCAAAGAGGAGCAAGTAAGTTGTAGCCAGAGATCATTGGGCATAGTATCGGTGATGAGGGACCTCAAACCCAGAGACTGAATGCATCACCCAATCATTGGCCATGCTAGCGGAGGCTGATGGGAGTTGGAGTCCAACAACATCCGGAGGGCACCAGGTTAGGGAGAGCTGCTGTAAGCGATGCTGTTCAGACTCTGCAGATCCTCAGATTGTGGTGTTGGGCATCACAAAACTAGAACTTGCCCATGTTTAAATTTGGAGCTTGGGTCTGGAAATTCCAAGCATTATCTGTAGGCTATGCCCCTCAATAAGGACACGGGTGGTGCTGTGGGTTAAACCACAGAGCCTAGGACTTGCCGATCAGAAGGTTGGTGGTTCGAATACCCGCGACGGGGTGAGCTCCCATTGCTCAGTTTCTGCTCCTGCCAACCTAGCAGTTTGAAAGCACGTCAAAGTGCAAGGAGATAAATAGGTAACACTCCGGCGGGAAGGTAAACGGTGTTTCCGTGCACTGCTCTGGTTCACCAGAAGCGTCTTAGTCATGCTGGCCACATGACCTGGAAACTGAACGCCGTCTCCCTCGGCCAGTAAAGCGAGATGAGCTCCGCAACCCCAGAGTCAGTCACAACTGGACCTAATGGTCAGGGGTCCCTTTACCTTTTTTATGCCCCTCAATGGCCCTCAATGGCCCTGCTCTGCACCCTCCCCGAGGGGTTTTGCCCAGCTGGCATGCATCCTGATGTCACACACCTCTCATTCCCCTGGATGGAGAATGGAGAGACTTGTGGCATGTAGGTAAGTGATAAAAACTCGGACTTTTGTATCACTTAAATATTGTCTACTGTACAATGATAAGAGGCACGACTGTTGCTCCACCCACAGTTGCCACTGCCATGTGGCCCAGAAGATTGCCTATGGGGAAACGAGGCCCTTGGGCTTATAAAGGTTTCCTATCCCTGGGCTGTATGGTTGCTCCTTCAGGGTGAGGGGGTTGACTATCTGTTGCCAGATGCCCTCCGTGTGCCTCACTGCAGATTTGCTAGATGACAGTATATGCATGTCAAGTCGCAATGTTGGATGCAATTCCTTCTGAAGCTCTGCAGCGATAGTTTGGCAGATGGGAAGAGAAAGATCCTTGGGAGAGAAAGGATGGTTCTGTTGCTAATCATAATAACATGCAAATGGCGCTATCCAGCAAACTCGTTCCTTTATGCACAAGGATTTCCACTTCTACAGTGGAACTTCTCCACCTCTCCTCCCCCTTTGTGTTTGCTAAATCTGTTCTAGGGGTTCCTCCAACTTGCCAGAGCGGATCTGGTGAGGAAGGGGGGGTTCCACTGATGGAACCAGTATTTGAATATCACCCAAAATAATTTGCGAAGTAGTTGGTCTTTAGGTTTACAATTTGTAATGCATAGACAAGGGGAGAAACTGAACCTTCAGAGCCATTGGCCCAGGTCTGTGGAAGGTCTTGCCAAAAGAGATTCAGCAGACGCCTTCTGTGCCAACTTTTAAACGCCGCCGGACCTATGCCGGCAATTAGGAGTACAATACGCCCCCCCCCCCGGTCTATTGCTGTTCATTTTAAAATTTCCTTTTGGCTTTTAGCTTGCTTTTAACTGTTAACGGGGTGAGCTCCCATTGTTCGGTCCCAGCTTCTGCCCACCTAGCAGTTCAAAAGCATGTCAAGTGCAAGTAGATAAATAGGTACCGCTCCGGCGGGAAGGTAAACAGTGTTTCTGTGCGCTGCTCTGGTTCGCCAGAAGCGGCTTAGTCATGCTGGCCACGTGACCTGGAAGCTGTCTGGGGACAAACGCTGGCTCCCTCGGCCAATAAAGCGAGATGAGCGCCACAACTCCAGAGTCGTCCACGACTGGACCTAATGGTCAGGGGTACCTTTACCTTTTAAACCACTATGATATACGATACAGCAGTATATAATTCCCCCCCCCCTAAATAAATAGAGTTTGGAGTTTCTTTTTGCACAAAGAAGGGGTATTAGTGAATGGCATAATTAATTTTGTAAAATACTGTTTTTATTTATTTTCATGGTACAGAAGGAATTTTTTGAGGAAACTATTGTTACGACAGTAAACAAATAACTATAAAATTACAGACTTTTATCATGTCATGTGTTAAAGTTTCATTTGATTGCTCTAAGAGATCACACCACATTTTCCCATGAGTTTTGGGTGGATTCTTGCCATAGTCTGAACAATTTATGAATTCCATAAACATTTGCCATATGTTATAAAAGGATTGTGTTTGCCCTTTTCAGCTCTCACCTGGCATGTTAGTTTCTCAGCCAATGCTATTGACCATACTCTGTTATACCAAGAGTCAATGTTCAGCCCATCACTGGTTTTCCAGCATTTAGCTATTTCCATACAAACAGCCGTCCATAAAAAGGCTAAGAAGTCATCTTTAGGATAATTGTGAGCAGACGGGATCCTAAGCCCAAGTACAGTGGTGCCTCGCAAGATGAAAAGAATCCGTTCCGCGATTCTCTTCATCTTGCGTTTTTTTCGTCTTGCGAAGCAAGCCCATTAGAGGCTTAGCGGATTAGCGCTATTAGCGGCTTAGCGGGCTTAGCGGATCAGCTGATAAGCGGCTTAGCGGATCAGCTGTTAAGCGGCTTAGCGGATCAGCTGATAAGCAGCTTAGCGATCAGCTGTTAAGCGGCTTAGCGGTTCAGCTGTTAAGCGGCTTAGCGGATCAGCTGATAAGCGGCTTAGCGGATCAGCTGTTAAGCGGCTTAGCAGATCAGCTGATAAGCGGCTTAGCGGATCAGCTGATAAGCGGCTTAGCGGCTTGGGAAAGGGGGGGGAGGGGAAAAAACCCTGCAGGAACTCGCAAGACATTTTCATCTTGCGAAGCAAGCCCATAGGAAATTGGTTTTGCGAAGCACCTCCAAAACGGAAAACCCTTTCGTCTAGCGGGTTTTCCGTCTTGCGAGGCATTCGTCTTGCGGGGCACCACTGTAGTGCTAATACAGGGGACATTTCAATTGTTTTGTTGTATATCAAGCTTATTTCGTTGAAGACAGCATTCCAGAAGGATTTGATAACATCACAACACCACCACATATGAAAATTTGTTCCTTTGTACATCCCCTCCAACATTTAGGATTCACTTCCTTACATAATGGCATAATTAATTTGTTATCCTTTTAAGGTACCATCAGTCTGTGGGTCTTTTTGGGTGCAACAGGCTGACATACATGCACCAGGTTACAGTACTGAAACATAAATTAATGGCGGTGTTAAAACAGTAGTATTGTTGACATTTCTACTTCCTGTGATGATTTGGGGCAGGGAGGTTGGAACCAGGTTAAACAGAAAATACACATGTGTACAGTGCGGTAATTGAAAAACGAAAAATAATGAAATCCTTTTTGACACATTTCTTTTTAGGCATACGGCTCCGGATGCGATATTGTTATCCTGGCAAATGACTTTGAATGTGTGCAAATTATTCCTGGTGCTAAGCATGGAAACATACAAGTCAGCTGCGTGGAGTGCTCCCAGCAAGGAAGGGTAAGGATTTCAGAGCACTGGTTCTCAAACTTTCCGCCCATGGGTCACTTGAAAACTGCTGAGGATCTTGGCAGACCACTTTATGATTTTTCTCTGCCTCTTGTAGCAATTTTAAATTCACTGTGCTGCATGCTGGATGCTTTTAACAGCAGCTTTATTGCTTAATTTTTTTCTTGCATGTTATTTGATTCTATGGAATTCAAATTGGAAATGTTCTTCACAGACATGCTGCAGACCACCTGAATGTAGCTCGCAGACTCTAGGTGGTCCTCAGACCTCAGTTTGGGAACCCCTGGTTTTTAGAACTTCTAAAATTCTTTTAGGAATTAAAACTTTAAGGCTGCACCCTGCCTTAAGAAGTTTTAATTGGCAAATCATATCAGTTTTAATGAATTAATTAACAGTTAAATAAATTACTCTGTTTTATGAATTGAGCACAATTTGGCCTTTTATGATATGCTACTGGCAGTCATTCTGGAAATTACACATGTAAAGAATAGTTTCTTTCTTTCTTTTTGAATAAACAGAATGTGGTTCATTGTAGCATATCCCTTGAAATCTAGCGTCTGGTACCAGAGCCAAGCGATGTTCGTATAAATTTACTTTTTCCCTGAATCTGTCCTTGTACATAACACTCTGATGAATGCATTGCTATCTATAAATAGTAAAATATTCACAGTTAAATTTTTTTTAAAAGACTAACTTCTTCACTCAATCTGTTCTAGATTGCAGCCTCTTATGGAAATGCTGTGTGCATTTTTGAGCCCCTTGGGGTGAATTCTCATAAGAGAAATTGTGTAAGTATTTATTATGTGATATAAAATCCACATTTTTTTGTTTGTCTTGGAGCAGGTAAACATCATTCCTAGCTGTTAGCAGAAGACAGGGAGGCCAACCGTAGGTGGTGGAGTCAGAGCCAATGAATGCTAGTTTTACTCCTATCCTACATCTCTGCTGAGTTCTGTAAGGGCAACGCTGCAGGGGTCAGCAAACTTTTTCATCAGGGGGTCGGTCCACTGTCCCTCAGACCTTGTGGGGGGCAGGACTATATTTTTTGGGGGGAAATGAACGAATTCCTATGCCCCACAAATACTAGAGATGCATTTTAAATAAAAGGACACATTCTACTCATGTAAAAACACGCTGATTCTCTGACCGTCCATGGGTCGGATTTAGAAGGCGATTGGGCCGGATCTGGCCCCCGGGCCTTAGTTTACCTACCCATGGCTGATACTAAGGAGGAGGAGGAAGCTGACAGGCAGGAGAACACCCTGGGCTGGCTGCAAGGAAGGAAGGGAGTAGGCAGGCAGGTGAGGGCTGGTTGAAGGCAGGCTGAATTTTGGGGGGGCATCCTCCACTGCCGTCTCCTGGAACTGACAGGCAAGCCTCCCCAGCCCTTCCGCTCTCTACCACCATGTCTGTTCCATCTGGCCTTTGGTTTGGACTCAGACTTTTAAAATGAGACTGCATTTTAAATTGCATTTCAACCTGTATTTTAAATTGTTTCTTTTTCTTTTTCTCTTATGTTTTTTTCTGAAATTTTATTGGTGTTAGCTGCCCTGAGCCCAGCTCTGGCTAGGGAGGGCGGGGTATAAATAAAATAATAATAATAATAATGATGATGATGATGATGATGATGATGTCATAGTTTCTGGCAGTTTCAACTAGAAATGTCATTCGGCAGGCATGGTTGGAGGAAAATGGCACCATGGGCCAAATTGGACCTCACCCCCGGGGGCACAGTTAACCCGCAGACAGGAGGTTGCCCACTTGTGCTGTAAAGGATGTATTAAGTTTAATTTCCATTGTCTGGTGGTCTTAACATGTCCCATCATTGAATAGATAGAAAGTATTTATGATTATTTATTTTTCTTAAAAAGAAATATATTGTTTTGTACATGAGAAGAACCCCTCTCCCTGTTGGCAGATCTTTAGTTTTGCTCTTTGTAATGAAGGCATGGGACACAAAATAACTTCCCTTCTCTTCTTTAATGAATCAGCTATTCATGCAGAACAGCAGGAGTGCAAGCAAATTTGTTGCCTGTGTTTATGCCACAGCCATGGCTGTGATCTGTTATTTGAAAAGTGCATAATTTGGGGCGTGTTATTGGTTTTAATTGTCACCCTTGAAGAATGCTGTTTGACAGCAAAAGTAACTGCTTAATCACGTCAAATGAATATTTTTTTTAAAAAAAACAACCCATGAAATGTCAGTTTATAGCTATGTGAAGAAAAGATTGCTCCTGTCCTGTGTGGTGTGTTTTGTGCCCCCTAAGAATTAACTCTGTAATGTTTGCACTGCAGCAACTGAAGTGTCAATGGCTGAAGACAGGGCAGTTTTTCCTCAGTTCTATGACCTTCAACCTAGCATGGGATCCTCAAGGTAATACGAAGTCAACATTAAGTCAATTCCCACTTCCTAATGTGCTTTGTGGCTATGCAGCTTGTTACTATGAGGGATCTTCTTCAGGGGGAATCTTTTGTTATTTCCTCTAATATTATCAAGGTACTTTTGCCTCCCTCTAGTGTGTTATTCCGTTCATTAGGAAAGCAGTTGAAAATCAAACTGCCAATATCATAATGCTGTTGTACAAAACAACAGTAAGACTGCATTTGGAATACTGTGCACAGTTTTGGTCGCTTCACCTCAAAGCAGATACTGTAGAGCTGGAAAAAAGTTTAGAAAAGAGCAGTCAGATTGATCCAGGGAATGGAGTGATTCCCCTATGAAAAAAGGCTGCAGCATTTGGGACTTTTTAGTTTAGAGGTATGCCAAATAAGAGGGGACCAGTGTTAGAAACCGAGATATGAAAACCAGGAGCTAAATGGTACCTTAAACGTAGGTTATGGGCCAACAGCAGAATGTCTAGGTGCACTTTTTTATAACAAAAATACAAAGCTGAAAATGAATAAACTGCAGCTAAAAATCTTATGTTCATTTTTCACATGGTCCAGTTCTCATCTGAAGACTGCAAAAAACATAGCCACACTTCCCCTGCCCCTAATATTCTGAAGAGTGTCTCTTCTCTATTCTTCAGGCTCGATTTACGTTCTTAAGTGTCTTTTTTTGGGGCGGGGTCAGCTCACAAACAGCCCTAGCACATGGAACTGTCTTGAATATAATAATGCCGACAGTAACAAAAGCAGATGCTTATGTTAGTGCAATAGTCTTTGTGGAGGAGAATTCTGTCCTCCACGATTCCCCAGCCCCATATTTTCATTCACAAATGTTGGAAGAACCAGTAGAAGGTAAAATGCATGTAGGCCAAATATTGCTGTCTACTTTGCTTAAATATCCATTTCTTCCAGGTAACCGGCTGCTGACTGCAACAGATCATTTGCAGTTATGGGCCCCTCCATCTAGTGATATCCTAGAAGAGGAGGAGGAAGATGATCCCGACTTAGAGCTCAAAGAGGATAAAATCCACCCTGTTCTAAGCGACTGGAAATGTGTCTGGCACTGCAAGTAAGTTTGTGTGAGAGTATGATTATGGAGAACGTGGGTGGCGCTGTGGTGTAAACCACTGAGCCTTGGGCTTGCCAATCGGAAGGTCAGCGGTTTGATTCCCCATGCCGGGGTGAGCTCCCGTTGCTCGGTCCCAGCTCCTGCCAACCTAGCAGTTCAAAAGCACATCAAAGTGCAAGTAGATAAATAGGTACCGTTCTGGCGGGAAGGTAAACAGCATTTTCGTGCGCTGCTCTGGTTTCACCAGAAGCGGCTTAGTCATGCTGGCCACATGACCCAGAAAACTGTCCGTGGACAAATGCCGGCTTCCTTGGCCAGTAAAGCGAGATGAGCGCCGCAATCCCAGAGTCGTCTGCGACTGGACTTAACTGTCAGGGGTCCTTTACCTTTACCTTTATGATTATGGAGGAAAGGCAGGGACATCTTACAGTCCCATCCCTAATCGCTCTTGGAACCTGAAATTATTTTTATATATGCAGCTTATTAAAAAGCCATATATGCTTTTTAATGAGCTGCTTGTTTTTATGCTCTAAGTTCAGAGTAGCAACAAGCTTCTCTGTATATATGCACATTTGTTAGGTGCAAAGTCTCCAGTGCATTCCAAACCATACTGACTTATTCTTCCAGGGAAGCATAACTGAACACAACAAATCTCTAGTTGGTTCAGACAACTGGGGATTGGATTTGAGCTGTGGGCTTGCATGCTTCCTCTTCTCCCTAATGGATGCAGATTCCCTTCCACTCTTTTGCTTAGCGCAAACCATTGTTTACAGGGACGTCTGAATCAACAAACTATGCCCTCCAAACCGGAATTAGAAACCACAGATTGAAGTGGATTTCCAATTTTAGGGTGGGATAAGTGCTGTCATGTTCAAATTGGCTGGTTGTCAAACTGTGGCTTATGCTAAACTGGAAGCGATGCTTCTCAAGAGAGGGGAGAAAATGTTAAAATTTGTTTCTGGTCTATAGGATCATATGAGGTTCTTAGCAGTATTCAGCTCTAGTCCTCAGAGTTAGCTTAGCTTCATTGATTTCAGTGGGTCTACTGTGAGAAGAACTTGGTTCAAAACAATCCTCTGCCAGCTTTGGAATCCTCTGTTCCAAAGTGTTTTGCCTAGCCACGGAGTTCTGTTATAGTCAATAGTCGTTTCCCCTCAAGAAGCAGTCTTCTTTTCATTTCAAACAATGCTCACAATGTTGTGCCTAACAAAAGTGGTATAGAGCCAGAAAACATTGTGCCTCTTTTGTGTATCTGGGAGTTGGTTTCATGTTGCTGCAAAATCCAGGGTGCAAGCATATTTGGTTCAGGCAGCTCATACTGAACGCTGACATGAGATTCTTCTTTTTTTACAGAGAATGCGACAACAGTCACAGATAAACACTAAAAATATGAGTTATGAGGCCTCAGGGTTGCTAAAGGGATGGAGACCATTTCATTGCTTCGCTGAGAGTGCCAAAACCCTTGATCCTGCTTCAATAATACAATTGGCTCTTTAAAGTTAGTAATGCCATGCAGCAGAGATGTGTGGCAGATGTTGCCTGTGGTCCTCCAGATGTTGTGGGCTCCAGCTCCCATCAGTCTCAGCCAGAATAGTCTGTGATCAGGTATGGTGGAAATTGTAGTTCAACAGCACCTGGAGGGCCACAGGTTACTCATCGTTGCCATACGGCAATTAAAGTATTTTTAGCGAACTTCTCCTGTATGTGTAACGAGATGTCAATGGTCAGAATAACCTTAGGCTGCCATAGCTGTGTCCATAAAAAAGTAAATTCCCCTTCAGTGGAGAACTGCATTCTTTTCTCTTGCTTTGCTCTTCAGAACGGCCGTGTCTGTACATCTGATGGAATGGTCCCCAGATGGTGAATATTTTGCCACGGCCGGAAAGGTAAGGATGAGAAAGAAAGTGAATTGCACTTCTGGAGTGTGCCAGGAATTGTATTAACTCTGCTTAGTAAAATAGAATTGTTTCCTTGCATATCTAACAGGGAATAGCCATATAACATCTTACGCGCTGGTCTTCAGTCAGGACCCAAAATTGGATCTAGTTTCAGCCTAAGGAATGCTGCACCAGACACATCAGAATGCTTTTGCTGTCCTTTGTCTTAGACTTACTGTCTTTTAAGAGACATGTCAGGCTCCCATCCCAAACCCAGTGACTCTTACTTGCTAGTGAGGGAGATATATTCCTTCAGGCTAATGTTGTTGTTGTTTAGTCGTGTCCCCATGGGGTTCGTGACCCCATGGACCAGAGCACGCCAGGCACTTCTGTCTTCTACTGCCTCCCACAGTTTGGTCAAACTCATGCTGGTAGCCTCGAGAACACTGTCCAACCATCTCGTCCTCTGTCGTCCTCTTCTCCTTGTCCTCTTTCCCAACATCAGGGTCTTTTCCAGGGAGTCTTCTCTTCTCATGAGGTGGCCAAAGTATTGGAACCTCAGCTTCACTATCTGTCCTTCCAGTGAGCACTCAGGGCTGATTTCCTTAAGAATGGATAGGTCTGATTTTCTTGCAGTCCACAGGCTAATATTAGTACAGGCTTATCAGCAAGCATAAGGTCCAGAAGTCAGAATACCAAGGTGCGTGAGCAAGGCAACAAGTTCATAACCAAAAGGAAGAGTCCTGACACTTGACACTACTCTCCCCGCCCAGTTTTGAATGACGAGGCAGGGCAAGCTCAAACACGAGACTGTCTCCCCATAGTTCTGCACACCTACACTCCTTCTGGACAGGTGTCTCTGATCCCACCTATGGAGCCAGCACCCGGTTCTCAGCAACAAGTCCTGCCCCATCCCTGGGGGACCACCTTCTAGTTCCCCAATCTGTTCCTTCTCCTTCTTGTGTCCAGGGCTGCCATACCATGCCAAACCCTGATGGAGCCGAAGGGCCCTAACCCCAGGAAATGAAGAGAAATATAGGAAGTTGCCATATGCTAGGTTAGATTATTTGTCTACCCGGCTCAGTATTGACTACTCTAATAGGTCTCCTTGGTCTCAGGCCTTTGCCTTTTCATTTATTTATCTGTTCATCACCATGAATATACATGGCTTATCTGCTCCTGATCATTTTGATTTGAGATGTCAGGGAGATGAATTTAGGATCTTCTGGGTGCAAATCATATTTTCCCTTCCGACACTGACCTCGGGACCGTGCTGAGAAAGAGAGTGGAATAGGAAAGGGAGGAGATGAAGCTGCATCTGTGCCATTAAAATAATTTTTTAAAAACCCATACTTAAGCGGCTTCCATAGTCCAGGTTGTGACTACAGGTGAGCTTTGGGTCTGAAAAGCTTGGGGTGGGTACCAGTTTAAACCATTCTTCTGACCTGAGGTCACCTAGTGACCTTCACGACCAAGTAGGATTTGAACTGTTGGTCTCCTGTGTCCCACACCTCACCATTCTCTCCATGTTGGGTGATTTAATCTCGATTAACAGAATTTTCAAATGTATAGTGGATTATTCATTCAAAGCTTTGGATCCCTGGGTTTTCATTTTATATTTAGCTCCTTGTCTTTTGTTGTCGTTCTGTCAATGTGATTCTGTCTTAGCAGTGTCCCCACCCCCACCCTCAAGGATTAAATAATTTGCTGCAGTTGGTTGTTTTAAATGCACAGACTTCAGGTTTGTGGGGCTGGCTTTTGATTTTTATTAGAACAGTGAGGACTACCGATGAGAACCAAATAATGGCCAGTGACTTGTCAGATCCAGTTGCTCACAGCATCCACAAGCCATACACTAGCTGACCTGGATAAGCTGTGCCTTTATATTGGTTAAGTTACTACACAGATCCGGGATTCTAAAAGCCCTTTGCTTCCTGATCAACTGCAAATCCAGTTATCTGCCAGTAGATGCCACTGAGCTTTCTACCGTCCCCTGTACTTAAGTACACCCTGATACAATTAATGAGCATTTGATTCTGAATTGATTTTAGAATGAATTGATTTTAGAATGTATTTCAATTAATTGATTGTGATTTTATGTAAACGGTGTTACTTTTATTGTTGTTAGCTGCTCTGAGCCCGGCTTCGGCTGGGGAGGGCAGGATATAAATAAATAATAATTATTATTATTTTGTGAGTTATTATATAGTTGCAATTCTATTTGTACTCAGTTAGGTCCCCATCTGCACCATACCTTTGAAGCAGCATCGTGCATCTTTAAACAGTCACGGTTTCCCCCAAAAGGTTTCTGGGAGCTGTAGTTTTTTTAAAGGTGATGTTTGGACATCCCTCATGGAGTTAGTTCCCAGAGTTTCCTGGAAAGAGGGGTTGATTGTTAATCCAGTCTGGAAATTGTAGCTCGTGGGGGGGAGGGATAGGGGGTCTCCTTACAAGGCTCGCCACCTGAGCCAAAAGGAGAATTTGGCGTAGTTTGGCCTCTCACAGTTCTGCCACCTGAGGCAGGTGTTTTGTCCAGCGTCATGGGCTCTGAGGGAAACCATGAGCATTTAGGGTGGTACGGTACTGCTTTATATGTATAGTGCAGGTGGGGCCTATACAGAGTCGACCCACTCAAATTAATAGGCCTACATTAGACATGTCCATTAAGACAAAACAGTTCCCTTAGTAGGCTTCTCATAGGCAGCTGTTGGCCACTGTGAGACTTTGTGCTGGACAAAGTGGACTGCTGGCCTGATCCGGTAGCCACCTCTTATGTTCTCAATATTACATTTAATTCAGAATTTTGTTAGTAGTAAGTGATGTAGCAGGAGGTTGTCAAAGGCTCTTTCGTTTCCATCGATCTCCATCTGTTTTGCCCCATTGTGTGCAGCGCCAGAGGTCTGTGACTAAGTAACTGAAGCAGATGGTCTTGGAAGCCATTTTCTGCCTGTGCCAGAGACGGTTGCCATTTTAGTTCTTGCATTGTGGCTCAATTTGGTTAAGATTGGTGATCGCAGCACTACGTCTGGCTAAAACATATTGTTTGTTTAATTGGGTCTCTGCAGAGATGATTGTATTGTCCTTCCTCTCCACCCCAGCCAAAAAAAAAAAAAACAAAACCCTTTAGGATTTATTACTTTCAGATAGTACTTTGAGAGCTCTGCAATCTCTTCTAATAATTTATTATCCTAACTTCATTCCCAAGCCATGTTCCCAATATAAAAAGTGTAATTGTTTCTTAGCATTTTGGCTAAGATCAGGGAATATCAAGTTATTAGAAGAGGGTAGCTAAACCTTGAGAACCAGGTATGCTGTAGCCAAATCATATCTTCCCTGGTGAGAATGTAATGAATGGAAAACCAAGAGAGAGGAAGAGTTCGGACAGTGCTTGTAGGTAAAGCTCTGTATTCTCCAGTTGTCAGGGGTGCAGGAAAATGATCAGGAAGAAGCATTATAGGAAAGTGTTTCAAGAGAGGTGAAAAGGAAGGGTGGAAACTTGCTCCTCAGCAAGTTGCTGTTATCCAACGGAAAATTTGCAAAGCTATAAGGAGTAGCCTTGTGCTGTCAAATCATTTGTCCATCTGGCTCAGGGTTGACTATCCTGTGGCCTTCCAAGTGTTGCTGGACTCCAGATTCCATTATCCCCAGCCAGAGTGGCAGAGTGGTCAGAGATTATGGGAATTGTTGGCCAGCTAAATCTGGTGAGCCACAAGTTGGCTACCCTTCTCTAGCCCATCTGCTCTGATCGGTAACCATTCACTAGGGTCTTAAGCTGCTTCCACATGAGCAAATATTATGGAATAGCCACATGCCGTTGACCAGGCATAGGCAAACTCAGCCCTCCAGATGTTTTAGACCAGCGGTTCTCAACCTGTGGGTCACCAGATGTTGTTGGACTACAACTCCCATCATCCCTGAGTTGCTAGCTAGGGGTGATGGGAGTTGTAGTTCAACAACATCTGGGGACCCATAGGTTGAGAAAGGCTGGTCTAGACCAGAGTTTCCCAAACTTAGGTCTCCAGCTGTTTTTGGACTACAAGTCCCAACATCCCCAGCTAGCAGGACCAGTGGTCAAGGATGATTGGAACTGTAGTCCCAAAACAACTGAAGACCTGCTCAACTAAGTTCCGTCTGTATTGTCTGTTTTTCTCCTCAAGCAGTCACCTCTCTCACTTTAACCATTCCCTTTCCGTACAGCATTGCCCTTGTAGCTGTGACTATTTTCTTTCCCCTCTAAATTGCAGTGAGTATGTGTGCGTATGCAGGGTGGAACTACCTTTCCTCCAACACTGCCCCCTTGGTCACAGTATGTTAGAAGTCTGGAAGCAGAGTTGCTATCCCACTTCCAACTTAAAATTGAGTGACATCGATTTGGGTACAGCTACATCTGGAAGCTCCTCAGGGCAGAGGTCTCTCCCAGTCTGCTGCCTGATCTCCTTTAACTGGAAATGCCCTTGTGCATGCAACACATCTGCTGTTCCACTGAGCTAAGAACTCCCTTAATTTTGAAGAAAAGGCAATAAAAATTGATATAATCAAAGGGAATGCCATACAAGGAAAATGCATGGGAAACATCATCATCATAACAATAATTATTATTATTTATACCCCGTGGGTGTGGGTGTATGTGTATATATATATATATATTCATATTCAGTGGGCCTGTGGCCTGAATATGGAATGCAGAAGATGGGGCAGGAGGATGGATTAAGGGGGGGGCGACACTAGACCCCTGAGCATCTGTCTTTAAGAAGAAAGTGACTTGATGTATCAAAGGGCACTAAATATCTCTTTGGCAAATGCAATCTAATAATCATTTCATATGATCAACATAATGACCTTAGCTTCCATCTTCTCAGCGATTCCTAACCTTAGCTGCAAAATTAATTTGTTTTGGGGGGGCGGGCAGACAGCTAAAGCGATCCCTAAGGTGCTATTTGTGCCAGATCAGTTGTGGATGTAAATCTGTGATTTGTGGTTTACGACTTCAAAATGGCTTTTCTATTGCC